CAGTGGAAGGAACTGGGCAGCTGGGTGGTGGAGCTCCTCTTCAGGGACTCTGCTCGGCCCAGCAGGCTGCTCTTCCTCCCCTCCATCATCATCAGCTCTGTGTGACTGCTCTGTGTGGACAGAAGAAACTCGTATCACACCTTGTTCTGGTTCTGTTACTGAACCCACATCACACTTTACTGTTCCTGCCTGTGTGGATGCTGCTGGACCTCTGAAGGTCAGCTCTTGGACCACCTTGTGGGCGGGGCTAAGTGATCGATGTGGTTTCAGTGTTTTCTTTGAACAGTGACGGTTTGTTTTGGTGGAACATTGTCAGCAGACCCGAGAACCGTCCTTAAAATGGAAAATCCACTGAAAGACACGAGCAGGACTGAAGACAGTCGACTACCAGGTGTGTCTGCATGAAGACACACACCTGTACAGAGATGAAGACATGAAGGACCAAATCACTGCTTCATGCTTTTATATCTGAATATTCACAGCTGACATGAAGCTGTTGGTTTTCTTTCCATTTCCAGCTCTGGAAGCTGAAACATATTGAACATTTGATGGCTCTGGTTCTGTAGCCTGGTTACAGTCAGACAGACTGGTACTGGTTCTACACTGATCTGCGCTCAGTTAGAAAACCTTGACCCAGAACCAACCAGTAATTTATCTTCTTCTAAACCAGCTGCCGTACGTGTTTCTACAGATTGATAATTTGACAGTATGAGCCTCCGACGCTGCAGAATGATCTCATAAAAGCTCCACGCAGACAGAAGCTTCACACGATCCGACGCTGGAAAGACGGATTTTCAGTGGTGTCTTTGAAGCAGCAGCAGATCTTTGTGCTGTTATTGTTTGCAGCTCAACTCCTGATGAGGCGTTTGAGGAGTCGCAGGAGTTTTCTCACTCGCTGCTTTGACCACTTTAAAGGTAAAACTCCGTCGCAGCTCTGCAGCGCCGCAGTCGCAGGAATCAAACGCCGCAGCGGCACTTGACGGCAGACTGCAGAGCGCTTTATGGAGGGATTCTAAAGAAACGCTCCATTTTGTAGCAGCAAGCGCTGCTGAGCCGGGCCTCCTCCTGGTGCGTTTGAGCGCTGCGGTCGGGGAGCTGCAGGTTTCTATTCTGGAACCTAAAAGTCACTTTTAAAGCAGCTGTAGGAACATTTCACTTTAAAATCACGCCTTCGCTGCAGCTGCTGCCTGGAAAGATCAGAGATGGCTTTTAAAGCTGATCGGATGGAGTGTCAGGTTCTGTTGGTTCTGTCCCAATCTGACGACGAGTCCAGAAGGGAGTCCGATTATCAGAACCTTCACTTCTGGTCTTCACACCATCTGGTATTATGGTTTTATATTTATACGAACCTTTAAATGAAGGAAATGTGAACCTGTTTTCACTGTGACCTGCTGAGTTTAGCTCCATGTTTGAGTCTCAGCGACGACATGCAGACGTTTGCTCTGCATGTTTAAACTCTGTGATTCTAAAATTATACGGGTCTGGGTGTCCGGACAGCTCAGCAGGTTGGTGTCCGGCCCGTTCACTGCAGGTCCTTCCTCCACACTTCTCCCCATGTTTCCATCTCTGTCTCCACTTTCCACTGAAGTAAAGGCTGAACAACGGGTCCAGCATCACTGGTCTGCTGTTCACTGAGTTTATAGAGAAAATAAACATTAAAAGTCGTGAACATCGACTGTTTTTCCATTAATGTGAGCAGAAGTTCAGGCTTCTTCCTGCTGTTCCTTCACTCATCCTGCTTATTGGATCTCCCTCTACCGTTCTGTAGATCATCTCCTCAGTCTGCCTGAATCCCTGTTTCATTCTGACCTTTGTTTTCATTCCTTTTCTTCCTCCTTTCACACCTTCATCCCTCCGTTTCTGATTCAGCTCTCCTCTCCCTCTGATCCCCTGGTATTTCTGCCGTTTATTATGTTCTCACCTTCATTCTTCAGTCGCTCTTTTGTCCTTCACTCCCTCCGTCTTTATGTCTGTTACTGTAACACTCCCTCCTCTTGTATTTACTTAATTCATCCATCTTTCTCTCCATCACTTTCCATCCATCTCCTCTTTCTTCCCTCCTTTCACTTGTTAGCGTAACTCTCCTTCGCTGCCTCCATCTTTTTAGCTTAATTTCCCTCCTCCTCCTCCTCTCTTTTCTCTTTCTCCTCTTTTCATTTTCTGCATCGATAGCTACTTGATTCTACTTTTCCCTTGTCGTTTATCATTACCGCTCGGCCCCATTTGAATATTTAAATGTCTCTTCTCCGACTCTGTGTGTGCGTGTGCCCGTCTAATGCATGTGTGTGTGTTTTTGCTGCGCTGTCATCAGAGAGGCGGCGGCCATTTTTCAACGTCGACGATTCTGATGGAGATGCTATCGCTCGGCGCTTCATGGCCATCCATCCCCTTCACTTAGCTAATAGCCGCGGCGCGAGAACGAGGGATCGACAGCAAAAAAATAGACGAGTGGAAGGTAAATATGTCGGCGTCGCACTCTTCTAACAGTCAGGAAATTATACGATTTATTCGCTGATGGCAAATATTGATTTAAAAAGGGGACAGGGAGGCGGCGGGGGAGGAGGGGGAGGCTGTTTTGTTGTTGTTGTTGTTTGTGTGAAGGATGCAACTGATCCAAAGTCAAAGAAAAGAGAAGAGGGGGGAGAAGGGAAGATAGACATGTCGATTAAAATGCATGAGATCCGAACTTTGTGATAAGTGCTGAGGAAGGATGTTGGAGGCTGGGAGGGGGAGGACGAGGGTGAGGAGGGGAGGAGGGGGATGCATGGATGGATAGTTGTGATGTATTCATGCCTCCAGTCAATCTCCATGCAAGGATGGACCGAGATACCGAGGCCCGAGGACGGAGACACAAAGAGCAGACACAAAGGGAGGTTGTGTACGAGGAAGGAAAGCAGGAAGATACAAGAACAGGATGAAGAACAAGAGACGCTGACATCACGCCGACATCACACTGACATCACCCTGACATCACCCTGTCATCACGCCGACATCACACCGACGTAAAGCTGACATCACGCGGATCACGCGGACATCATACGGACATCACACCGCTATTGCGCCGACATAGTAACGACATAGCGCTGATATCACACCGACATCACGTCGACATCATGCCGACGTCAGGCTGACATTACGCCGACATCAGGCTGACATCACGCGGACATCACACCGACGTCAGGCCGACATCACGCTGACATCACACGGACATGACGCTGACATCAGGCCGACATCGCGTCGATATCAGGCTGACATCACGCCGACATCACGTCCAGATCACGTCCAGACTAACTCACTTCAGCACCAGTCGGAGGTTAGCCAGCGGTGGAGGTGGAGCAGGTTCAGCGGTCTGGATTCTGCTCCATCAGAGACACTGGAGCTCATCTTTGTGCTGCACCTGAACTGCTGCCGTCCTTCACTACAAACACATCAGCAGCACTTGTCTCAGTTGGCCCGTTCTGACGGGTAGCGCCGTCTGCTGGTGCTCAGGACTCTGGTCCGTCTTTATGTTTGGGCGCCGCTGGAGGCTGCTGCTTGCAGCTACATTCTGTAGAAAGTGACGTCACATCAAAGTGCAGTTCTTGTGACAGCTTCAGCGTTGACAGTTTTGGAGCGTTAGCATCACCCCGGGTCATCCCTGTCGACCCACTCTGTTGGGTAGAGGGATTGGACTGAACCAATCACAATCCTGGGGGGCGGGGCTAAGAACAGGATCACGTGACCGCGTCTCTGTAAAACACTCTCTGACGACAACCTGATGAAGATCCCGAAGCGACTGATTCTCAACAACAGAGAGTTCGTTAAAGGATCGACGGCTGCAGCTCGTTATGAAACTGACATCACCGGACAAATTAATCAGAACTTCATGCAAAAGAAAAACGAGCACAGGGAGGAATCAGGAGGCTGGTGATCTTCACCAGGTCAGAATAAATGTGCTCTGCTGAGGAGGAGACTGATGTTCACCTCCAACATTAGAGTCGACCTTTCCAGGAAATCAGAAAATGCAGCTAAAGTGTAGAAATGATCGTGTACATGGTGAAACATCTTCAGGAAGGTTTTCAGGTTCATCTTCTCTGATGCTGAACTGGAGACCAGACAGATTCCAGAGCTTCATGTGGACACACACTGAACAGAGGCTCAGTTCTGCCCTGTGCTGAAGCTTTGTTTAACCAGGAGCTAATCCGTCCACCTCGGCTGCTCCTGCCTCCACAGCCTCCTCCCTCCATGGCTCTCAGGGTTCGCAGCAGAAATAAAAAAGCCTCTCTGACCTCTGACTTCTGGCCTCGTCTCTGCTGGCTGCTTTAAAATGTGCTGAAAACTTTTATTGTGCTGCTGAAGCCATTAAAAGTTGTTCTGGCACGAAGCCCAGCGCCGGTGCAGAAAACATAAAACATCATTTGTTACTAATTGAAACTAATTTCTTGTTGCTTGGGTCCCATATGTTAGACATCCAGCCACAAACGCTGTTTACTCACATTTCAGGCCTCAGTCTGAAATCTAGATGAACGTATGAAGTAAACGTGACGCGGACGCAGAACGCATCGCCGGACACGTGAACCTCCGTCTGCTCGCTAACGGGAACGAAGTGTGTCACACCTGAGGACTGAAAACATGCAACAACTGACAGAACTAAACACCAACAGCACCGTCTGAAGGGTTCTGGGAACTAGCAGAACCAAAGCCTCCACCGGGGCAGCAGGTCGGCCCATAGTTTCAACCCGTGATTCAGTCAGAACCAGAAGATTTCCTCCACAGAGTCTGGTGTTTTAACCAAGAAGTTCTGTCTGTTGACCGTCTCTTTAACAACCATCAAGTCTGTGCTGACTGGTTACTGGGTTCTGGAGAGGATAAATAAAAATCTGGTGTGAGGATTCACAGCTAAACAGATTACAGCCAGACAGCTTCAGTGATCTAATCTAATCTTTAAGACGTCGACCTGTGATGACAAACCGTCTGCGTTTGGTCCTGAACCAGGATGTTTGTGGTTCTGACCTGATGCATAATTCTGTGTTGAATGTAGGCTGTTGGTGGAAGAACCGAGGACGGACCTGCTCAGACCAGCAGCTATGATCGGTTCTAAGATGAAGCTTCAGTGGAACAAAACGTGAGT